GGCAAAATTCGAGGCCTTGCAGCGCACTCAGAGGTTGGTTTGTCATACTTTCACATGTGATAATATAGTATAATATCTCTACAATGAGATTTATTCTAAAGTATCTAATGCAAATACATATTTTCTACAAGTATATTCGAATACTGTACATGTTAAGTGACCACAAAATTGACTTACTTTTATGTTATATAACTTGGAAAAGCAGGCACTTGCTTGGGGAGGACCTTGGCCCACTGAGTGTGAAGGAATTGCAGCAGCTAGAGAAACAGCTAGAATGTGCTTTGTCACAGGCAAGACAGAGAAAGGTTCATATCCCAGTCTTCCCTTATGTTATGAAAAGAACCCTTCAGTTTCAGTGCTAACAATACATAGGATTCGTGCAATCATAGAACTCATACAAGCTAAAGGAACATGATATTGTCTGCAATGGAATGCGCTTGTAGTATATATGCCCACCTGGACACCTACTAGTGGTAGAATTAGTGACTTACATTAACTCTGTGTAACATAGCAATAATCAATGTATTTCGTTTTCTTATGGTGGTGGATAATTCATTAAACAGCAATGCGTCTTCCAAGTATTTGAAAGAAACTGCAGGCAAGGAGATTAAACACTTTAATTAGGTTATAATATGGGTCACCAACAAATGGGCCATTAATCTTATTTTATTAGCTTTAAAATGTCAGGACATGTATGAAGTCGTACAATGTTATTAGCTTTTCGTAGGAAAGGTACAATAAGGTAACCTATATAAGCATGCTAGCCACAATAAAGCAAGCGCATCCCAGCATTTTTGTTGCCATGCCTGCGAAAGTTTACCTTAAAATATACTCCCACATTTATTTATTCTTCTATATCTTTATTTCCTGTGAAAGTTAGTAAAAAATGAAAACAACATCATTAGTATCTAATGCATAGAAAGAGATCGAAGTACACTATATACTAGGAGCTCATATACTAGATGAAATTATTAGCAGAACTCGGTAGTCCCAATGATGATCAAAACTTGAATTGACATAGATTTGATCCGATACCTTTCGAATGGTAGAGCAAATAATAGTCTGTATCCCCTCCTATTCCAATACAAACGCAGAGGGCTAATCTCCAACCATATATCGCCCCGTACAATATGAGCCAAAAGAGCATACAAGAAAAAAAAAACTTACAGAAAAAAAAGCGTCACAATATGAAACTCAGCTTTGTTGATTTAATCAGTTTCCTTATAAAGGAAAAAAATGTAAATATACATACTTCTCTATTTATTTTTAGAACTAAATTATTCCTCAAAATTGTTGGCAGACACAACTTATGATGGAGCAAGTGGAAGAGCTTCGCAGAAAGGTACGTATTTTATACTAGCTAGACTTTGTTTACAATAGTAATACTATACAGCATAGTAGGTTGAGACACTGTAGCCAGCTCGAGCGTATACTCTATCTTATGCACAGTAGGGATGATCTTATGCATGTTCTTAATTTAGCTGGAAAACTATATATGTGTGTATGTAGAACTGTAGATAGGTATGCATAGGGGTACACGAGATTCAGCCATTCATCCTAATGTCTAAAATATTCGCCATATTCTGATGGACTGGTGCATGCACAGGAGCGTCACTTGGGAGAAATGAACAAGCAACTCAAACACAAGGTCATTATTATCTGTTTCATATAGTGGAACGACAGCTATATACACATTAGATCTGTATATACTCCTATAATATTCGTATGATCTTTTTTGTTTTTAACATATGGACAGTGTTTTGTTTACTATAACTGCTATATGTTGTCCAATTCTACAGCTTGAAGCTGAAGGTTCTAGCAACTACAGGACCTTGCAGCATGCCGCCTGGCCAGCTCCCGGCGGCACCATCGTGGAGCATGACGGCGCCACGTATCATGTTCATCCACCTGCTCACTCAGTTGCTATAGACTGTGAACCCACTCTGCAAATCGGGTATAATACACCTGGTCGATCGTAATTCAAGAAACACACATGCAGCTGCATGCTGGTGCTCACTGATCACTAATAAAGCTGATCATTGCAGTGTACTAACAGAACAAAACTGACTCCGTTTTCAGGTACCCTCATCACCAGTTTCTGCCTTCTGAGGCAGCCAATAATATCCCAAGGAGCGCCCCTGGAGGCGAGAACAACTTCATGCTGGGATGGGTTCTTTGAGTTCTTCTGTAGCTCAATCCATCCATCAGACGATGGTGGGGACGTTGAAACGAATAAAAAGGCATTCAGTGCTGTATATGCATGCATATCCATGCTCAAGTGCTTGATTTGCCACGACGTGGGATATCTTTTAAATTTATATCGATCTGGTGTGTAATGACTAAATTAATAACGGCACATTTATTCTATGTGGTTGTGGTGTGGTACTTCTATGTTTTTTTCATTTGGACCATGAATCTTGTAATTTGTAAAAATACCTCTATGTTGCTGGTGCATAGGATCCAAAATTATCTGTACCGGTACTTATTATGCTGATGTAAGATTCAGTACCATTATTATGGATCATTTTTCTGCTTTATTGTATTTGTCCCTTTCTTCTGGTCCAGACGCCTCTTAAAGCAAATAGACATAATAAAAGCTATCAGGTAATCTGGACCGCAGCAGCAGGCCAGTGCAATATATATGTAATTTGAGTAATACCTATGATTTTTAATTTCTATAACATATCTTCAACCTTTTGTTTTGCGAAGACATAATGACATATCTTCAACTTTCTTTGTCATGTAACAGAAAATTTAAAGTGCAGTGCTATCATCGCCAGAAGCTCAGAACCTCGTTTCAAGTATAGACAGTCTAGTTGTCCAATGATGACAATGACATGTCACTATGTCAGAGTCTGAGCAGCTGGTTTCTTTGCACGAATGTGTGGCCCGGGTGCGAATAATTAATTGTGCTCTTTTGGGTGATGGAATCTAATCTTGCCAGAATCGCTTGTCAGTTAGAATGTCGTTTGCACTCATTAATTGGTTTACAGGATTTAAGCAGATTGCAAGAGTTGTGTGGTTGCATTATCTTCAGCTTGTACAGGAGTGTAGTAGTGGCTGAACCGGCCATGCATGTGCTTGTCCATCAGGCCATATCGCTAAGATTCATTATTGGTGGTTCATATGGGCAGAAGCACTTTGTTTTTGCATCACACTAGCTACATGATGAGAACGGTACAAAGAGTTGCTTACCAGTCAATTATTCCTGTCGCGGGATTGTATTTCTGCAATGCATGGCTATTTTTGGACGTCTACTATTTTTTTTCTCGAACGTGCCGTGTAACACGTATTTCATTAAGAGAAAGTAGACAACACCAAACCAAATAACAAACGGCTCAACACTAGGCAACCAAAGGTTTCCTAGGCGAGGAGAAGACAGAAGCGAAAAAACTAAAGAAAACTACGACGAAGCCCGGCTATTACCACAAGAGGGACTAAAAGCAATAACGGGCCGAGCGACAGGGAGCTGGTAAACTAGGCCATGGGCAACGATCGAATGGCCTAGGGCAGGCACCGAGAGGTAGGCTAAACCTCAGGGTCCACCCCCTCCACCAGCTGGATGCCCTCAATCGCGGAGCCAGTCGGGAAGAGCATCCTGATTGCCTCGCGCTTGGACTCCAAGAGAGGGCCGTCGACTATGATGATTAGTATTTGACATGCTTGATTACTGATTTGGTGTGTTGTGCAAGCAGCTGATCCAGAAGAAGACGCAGATTCCAATGTATCTTAGTTTGTCAGCACCAGCCGGTCTTCTACCGGTAGAGTTAGTTTCGACTTCCTTTGTGATGTTGTGTAAGGGGTTGTGTTGATTGAACCGGTTGGAAGCCCATGGTGGAACTGTAGGTGGGGCTCCTCCAAAGGTGCTATTCGTCGAGTGCCCCTACACAAAGATAGTTTGGGAGCTTGTAGCTGTTTGGAGCAACTGCGCCAACTTGGGTCTATCTGGATGCAGTGAGGTGAACGATCTGGGGGAGTGGTTCCTAACAATGACCAAAAAGGGCACCAAAGCGGTGCATTCGCTTGCCATTCTCACAATATGGCAAGTCTGGAAACAAAGAAATGCAATGACTTTCAAAGAGGAGCGGAGATCAATGAGAGCAGTTGTCACAGGGATCAAAGATGAGTGCTCCTTATGGGCATCTGCAGGTGGGAAGATCCTTCAGCCTTATAACGATTGTAAACCCCCTATGAGTAATTAACTAGATGCAATTTCACTCCACACACAGCAGTCTCCTGTGTGTGGTCGCGCCACTCGCGCATGTAACGAAGCAACCTCTGTAATCTCCTTGTTATTAATATAATGCCGAATAACCGGATCTTTTTTTAAAAAGGGGTTTTTTGGATATTATTGGGGTAAAAATGCCTTTGAATTTTCTAGGTAAGCACCATTCAATTTAGTGTGGAATATGACAAGTAGCTTTAGAACCTTCGCCGTTGCAATTTGACGAAGAACGACAAAAAGGTCTGATCAGATTATTGAGTACTTTACACCAACTCATGTATTAACAAGTGGTTCCCAACACGAGACGATCATCAGCATTCAAGTTGGTTGGTAAATTATTCAATACCTGGTCCGCCAACTCGTTGCTTACCAAGTTGCACAAAAAATTATTCAACACCAGGTCCGCCAACTCGTTGCTTTATGCCAACTTCGTGTACAATGAATATGGCTAGCTGTTAGTAGCACTATCAAACATTCAGTTGCCGTATACTCAATCCTTTAACAACAGTATTAGCTAGTATTATTATCTTTACAAATATCAACTGTCAGGCGCTGGATGGAACCAATCATCTGTCAATTAAGCCCCCATATTGATTGGCGGTTGGCCGATGGCAGAGCAGCTGTTATACCACCCGGCGGCCCGGTCGCCGTCGCTAACCTGTCCGCGCCATTCCGGCGGCACCACCACCGGCCCACCGCGATGGGCTGCGACTGCGACCGCGGCCGCGGCATGGCCATCGAAAAGACAAAACTACCCACCAAGACGGTTCTGTCCTCACCAAACGCGCGTGAGACAGGTGGCGAGGCGGCCCAGCCCGAGCAGCCCGGCCCGGCCCCGCGGGCGCGGCAGGAGGTCGGACCGGCACAGCGGGCACGTCGCCCGGCCGAGGTCGATCCAGCGGTCGATGCAGGTCCGGTGGAAGGCGTGCGAGCAGTTGCCCAGCCGCCGCACCTCGTCCGTCGCCTCCAGCGTCTCCAGGCACACGATGCAAGCCGGCGCGTCGTCCTCGCCGCCTCCGTGGTCGCGGCACTGCTGGCACGCCGCGTGGGCGCCGGACGACGACGACGGCTGCTGCTGCTCGGCCAGGAGCTGGGCGTACTCCACGGCGGGGAGCCGGCTCTTCACCTCCTCGGGCTGGTGGCGGTGGGCCTCCGCCGAGGCGCGCGCGGCGGCGTCGTGCGGGAAGCGGCACAGCCCCACGACGGCGAGCATCAGCAGGACGGCGTCCCTGATGACGCTGAGCAGCTTGCAGAAGGCGATCACCGGCTTCGGGATGGGGAGGCAGTAGCACACCAGCGGGAACCCCATGATCAGTGGATTGGATTGATCGATCGAGCTCGACCGGCCGAGACCAAAGGCAGAGAGAGAGAGTTGTTGTCTGACACGAAAGCAGGGTGGTCTCTTCTATGTGTGGATAGACAGGCTTGCGGGACGCGGGACGAACCAACGAGCGCCAACGCCAAGGGCGGAGCGGAGAGGATATGGTGGACAGGTCAGAACAGCTGAAGCGGCCCGCTGGTTAAATAGAGGGAGGGAGCTCTGCTCAGGGAGGCGGAGAGAGCAGCCGGGCAGGCGCGCCGCATAGTGCGAACTGCGAAACGGTGGTTGTGTTTCACGTGGTATAGTTGGTGGCAGTGGGATGGTGCGTTTCTGCCGGTAAGAAAGGTGCGTGTGCGGGCACCTGTGCCTGTGCCTGTGCCTGTACCTGTACGGGGGTTGAACGGGCCGGCGCGGGCGGCCTGTGGGAACGTGACGACCTGGCTCGCTGACAGGCTGGTATCGCCCGGGTCGCTTGCATTGTTTACAGCTCAGTTCCGCACATTTTTCAGCGTGATAAACGTGTGACGAAAGTAACGCGCGCTACTTCCTAAAAAAAAAGAAAGTAACGCGCGCTGAGAACGACGCTGCCCGTGTTTTACCTCGGCTATATTGAAGTAGGAATCTGTAGTACTCCAGGGCTTTTAATTAATTGTGTGATTGTGTCACACGTAGTGCTATATGTTGCGTTCCGACTTCCGAGTTCCGACTGACGAACTAATCCGCAAGCCCCTTGTAATGAGCCACTCCAACGGAGTGGTCGGTGTCCCGTCGGCACGTCAGATGCACGTGTGTAGCCACTAATCGCTTGGCACGTACCCTAGCAAAGCCAAACTATTCTGTAAGCCATCGGCCGTCACGATGGGGCGCACGTCGTCTCCAGTGGCGCGCGCGCGCACATGGATTCGGTTAGCTGAGCGGTCCCTTTCGCGGCGTCTCGCGAGAAGGCTGCGGCTGCGCACAGGATCAGGCGTCAGCCATAACCCCTGCCATCATCAATAGGTTTCGGCCCGTCGAACGCGTAGCCTCTGCGCAAGTGCGTGCACGTTTGGAGTCGGCTGCTGCCGGCCGTTCGTGTCGGAAACCAAATTGGGTCCTCCGAGTCTCGAATCTCCGGGCTGGAAGAGTTTGGCAGCGGCGCCGCGCTGCGCCCATGGATCCAGAGTCCAAACCGGCAAGAGTAGCAATCTGCAAACAATCAATGAGCCAAGATACGGTTCTTGGCGCCGACTGTCTAGCTGGAGTATGAGCAAGCAATTGGATCGGGTCATGCCTATCCATGTGGGAATGAGACCGAGTATGAGCGCAATTGGATCGGGTCATGCTTATCCATGAACGAATCAGACCGTAGAAGCAAGACGAGCATCACGACACAGAAGAAGGTTCGACGTGAACCCGTGTCCTGTCTCCTGTGAGGGTTTTTTTTTTTGGGGGGGGGGGGGCGAGAAAACTCGGAATGGATAAACAGACGCGGCCAGGCCCACGTTGCTCAGCAGATGGCAATGCAGGAAGAGATGCTCCGTAACGGGTCCGTAGCGGGCCTGTGGTTATTCTTAACTCAAGGACAAGATAACGATATAATTCTAGTTTTATATTGCTCAAAACAAAAAAAAACAAGAAAAAATCTATGCTCAACTCTTACGATAATGATACTCATCTGCCGCACCTTCCCCCACCACGTCTCTCCCCACCTTTCCCACCACCATTGAGATCCACCGCGAAAGCAGCAACGCACCGAAAGAAAGAGGGGCCGTGACGGCGACGCCGATCGCGAGAATCGCGGGAGAGCGACGGGCGGCAACGACGGCACGCAAGCGCGTGGAGCAACGTCCCCTGATCCGTGCTAGCTGACTACCACAGTCCACCAGGTAGGCCGTGGCTGTCAACGACGCCGTGTGTCAAATGTTTCAGACGCTTCAAACTTTATGTTTTAAGTGTTTCATCTGGATGTTGCAAAAGTATATCTTAGATGTTGCATATGTTGCAATGACAATAAACGTAGGATGCAAGCCTGTGTTTCAAGTGTTTCATCTGCGTGTTGCATATGTTGCTATAACTATATACGCATATTTCAAGTGTGTGTTTCAAGTGTTTCAGATGTTTTAGACTTATGTTGTAATTGTTTCATATGAATATTGCAAAAGTTGATCTGGATGTTGCGTATGTTGCTATGGTTATACATGCATGTTTCAAGAGCATGTTTCAAGTGTTTCATCTGTTTCACGCGTATGTTGCAAATGTGTCATCTGTATGTTTCAAAAGTAGATCTTGCTGGTGGCTGACGGACAGGGGCCTACCCAGCCGCATGCTGCTGCTGGGGCGCCACCGTGAACCTCCACGTGCGGACGCCTGAGGTCGACAGACACCTCCACGGCGCGCATCCGCAGGCGGGGCAGCTAACTTAGGACCCACGTGGTTTTCCTGTCGAGACACAGGACGGGTGCAGGGTGCGGTTCTAGACGCTGGCGCCGAATGCGGGTGAGCGCGGGGCGGGATGGGCGTCGCGCGGGAGCTGTGTCCGGACACGTCATGCGTCCGGACGTCCGAGCGATAGCCTTCCTCCTGTGGTTATTCTGAACTCAAGGACAAGATAACAATATAATTCTAGCTTTATATTGCTCAAATCATCTTAAGTTTTATCGATTTTTTAGAAAAAATATCAACACAAAATACATATATGCTATAAATACTCATTTTTAATATTATAATTATTAGTATTTTTTATATAAAAATAAACTTAGTCTAATTTTAACATGTATTGACTTAGGAGAAACTAGAATTAAATTCTTTCTGCATGGGAAATATTTTTTTTCCTAAAGGGAACCGCAAAAGGCCCACTATTCTTTGTCCTTTTTATAGGGCTATAGGTAGACTGCAACCATCAGTTTTCGTATAATGATGATACAAGGTGTTGGTTAGACAATGTGTGGAGGGGCGTTTGATTCAGAGACTAAATTTTTTTCTATCACATTGAATATTTAGATATCAATTAGGAGGACTAAACATGAGGCAATTATAAAACTAGTTGCATAAGCCATGACTAATTCGCGAGATAAATTTATTAAGCCTAATTAATTTATGATTAGCATATATTTACTCTAGCATCACATTCGCTAATCATGGACTAATTAGGCTTAAGGCCAGTCTCAGTGAGGAGTTTTATAGCATTGTTTCCAAAAATGCCACATCATATAAAATGCAATGAAACTTGAATTAAACAATAACTCTCAATACATGGTTTCTTTATATAGTTTTATAAACATTTAATTCCATGACTCATTGCAAGTTGGTACCTGTGAGAGAAGAGTTTTATCCACATGAAACTCATTTGATCTCTCTCTTCCTAAATATGGTGCCACATCATTAAAAATGTCTACGTGACAGCTGATTAAATGCGGATGAAACTCCCACAGAGACTGACCTAATAGATTTGTTTTGCGAATTAGTCACTGTTTATATAATTAGTTATGTAATTAATCTATATTTAATACTCCTCATTACATCCGATGTGACAGGCCTGTATCCAAACACTCCTAAAATCCAGCCCGTTATCTGAAAGTTCGGCGGCCCACCTAAGCAAGCCCACGTTTAGTGCAGATTTTCTCCTTGAATACAAGAATTCCAGTATTACACTGTGGCCTCAGAAAATCCTGTAAAGTTCCACAACATTTTTTCTACATTCTTAGTAGAAACTTCCGCCTTTGGATGGGGATCAATTGAGAACGTTAGATTTCACCGCCTTTGGATGGGGATCAATTAAGAACGTCAGATTTCACCCCATGAGGCCATGATCCGATTACAGTACTACGCTTTAAGAACGTCAGATTTCACCGATTACTGGGTTTCAGTTTTTTAACAGCAACATCAAATTTCAGCTACTCTCTTTCTTCCAATACTAGCTTCATAACCGCTTGTAGCCATTTACATATATTAGCATAACTTTTTACATATATTAGCATAACTTAATTGGAAGGTCTTGCGTACCTCATACCAGGATACTGAGGGCAAGTAATGAACAGCTTAAAAACAGCCTATGATACATGGCGTTAAATCGTCTCAAGATCAAACCTATGGTACATGACAGTTCGTTTCGAAGGGATCGTCTATTAAATCAAGATTACATGGCATTACATGAGAACGCTATGATACAAGACCAGTATACTTGCCCTAAAACTTGGAATTTCATTCATGGCTATAAACTGAGAAAGTAACGGAGCAAGCTGGACTACTGGACAACAGAAGGCCAAATGATGTTCTAACCCTTTTTGGACCAGTGCGGCAGTGAGTCAAAGCTAGTACCTCTATATATTTCTACATTCACTGGAAGTTAAGAGAAATCTGCTAGCACATGTAGATTTTGCTGAGATTTAAGACGATTTCATTCGCTAGCCAAGAGGTAGTACCCTAGAACAGATATGGTTCCTTGCTTGCCGGAGCTCAGCAGAATGGCTGCTTCTGGGGTTTATGGTGTAGCAATTGTGTCAAGAGGTTTGTCAACACAAGATGAATACAAGCAGATGGTTTCCAAAGTCCCAGGCCTCCACATAATCGAGCTTTCTTCAGAAAATTTCTGCATCACAAGAAGGAGCTTTTTCATGTGAAATATATGGGGTATCAATCAGCAACAGCATTTCTTTAGGAGCACAAAGGCAAAGGATAGCTCAATATAAGTTCTTAAGAAGAACTATTTAAAATTTCTGGCACCTGAAAGAACAGTGTTCAATCTTGTGAAAGTTGTCATATTATAAATGCAGTCATTAGTGGTTGCTGTTTTCAGCAAAACAAATTCAAATACCAATGGAAACACCTGGTAATACGAAAGATTGGCAACAGTACAGCAACCGTAACTAAGAGGTAAAGAACATGCAAATGCAATATCATATAACAATAATGTGCCATAGAGAAGAACAAACTAACCTAGGAATTAATAGTAAAAATCTTATCTTAAGAGCAAAGGGCCAGATGATTGAATTCCGTAAGACAACAGAGGATTAGGCTCAGGATTTTGTAATTACAATCTTCTGTAAGAGAAGGAAAATTATAGCCTCAAATGGGACAGTACTAACGTAAAACATTTTCATTGCTGGGAAAGTGGGAATTAGAAATGAAGATGAGAAGGCCTAAGGGAAATGGTTGTTTTTGAGAATTTCCTTTACAATTTCCATAAGTCCCAGAGCTGTAATTGTATTTTTAGAATATGTTTCAATGCCGTTTATCTAATCTGATCATGAACAGATGCTGGAATTTCAAGTTAACACTAAAAAAGTTTTCACATTATCCTATCCATTGTTAAGAGAGATGGAGAAGAAGGGGCAGAGGATAGTGGCACAGCAGCAGCTACAGTATGCAATGTGCAAAGGCAGGTGTCTGTTGAAGCGCTTTCATGCTAATTGACATTATGGTTCACCTATTGATGGAACCATTTACCTTCGTTCAGCTAGCACAAAACTAGCCTGGACTTCCTTGGTGAAAACTGGACCTTTTTCTTAAGTTCACAAAAAGAGGGTTCAATTCAGGACTGCGTGTTTGTATTGGAAAGTGACAACATAGATCACGAATTATCTACTATTGATATGGCTTAAGTTCTAGGTAATTTTCAAATAAAGATGAACTTATTCTAAATTCCTCATACATGCATTTACCAAATATACTGTATTTAGCACTTATAATCAGCACATAGAGAAAAAGGAAGCAGCTTGTGGCCTTGTGGGTAGTTCATAATAAAAATTAGCAACTTCCAGGCTTCATAGGACTCAAAAAATTAGGCTACTTTTAAATATCATATATGGTAACACTGACCGAGTTAGCTCTGTATGATTCTTTAGTTAAGTTGTGCAATTACACTACCTCATACCAATGTGCACGATCGTCTTTAGTTAAGTTCCAAATGTATTGACATAATCAACAGAAATCATATATATAGAAATAAAAACGTCAAACCAAAGATCACCATGGTACCAACCTTGTCAGACCCTAAGAAGCTGGACCTTGTTCTCAAAGGCGATGGCCATCCAGTCCGGGTGGGCGGCCGCCCACTGAAGTTGGTTTATTTCGGCGCCTGCGTCGTACACTAACACAGGATCAATCCCCTCGGCGGGTACAGCCGCCGCCGTCTCGGGCAGTTCCCAGATCAGTGCCTGCCCGTCGTCCCCAGCCGAGCAGAGGTGCCTCGTGGCCTGCGGCGCCCACGCGACTGCGTTGGCGCACGCCCGGTGTCGGTGCAGCTCGGCCACCGGCACCCCGGGCGCACGTATGTCGAGCACGACGATGGCGCTGCTGTCCATGAGCAGCGCGGCCATATAGCGGAGGTCAGAGCGGTTCCAGGCCAGCCTGAGCAGCGGCGTGTCGGGGCGGGGGCTCTCGTAGACGATGGTGGAGTGCTCCTTGTCCCGGAGGTCGAAGACGCGGACGGAGCCGTCGGCCGAGACGGAGGCGAAGACCCCGGCCTCCCCCCAGGCGATGTCGTGCACGGCCTTGTCGTGCGCGATGAGCTGCGTCTCCACGACGCCGCGGTCGATGTCCCAGACGGTGCAGGTGGTGTCGATGGAGGCGGTCCCGATAAGGCGGGGCTCGACCTCGTTCCAATCGAAGGAGGTGAGGGGCGCGCAGAACTCGGAGGCGGCCTTGCGGTTGTCGAGAACGGAGCGGATCTCGGGCGCGGAGGCGGCGGCGGAGAGGTCGTCGAGCGGGGCGTGCCAGATGCGGAGCGTGTCGGCGGAGGAGGCGAGGAGGGACGGCGCGGCGGCGCGCGGGTTGAACTGGAGCTTGGTGGGTGGGTAGGGGTGGTCGAAGGAGAGCGCCGGGAGGGCGCGGAAGGAGGCGGCGGAGGGGCGGACGGGGTCGAAGGAGAGCAGGGAGACGCGGTTGTGGAGGTCCTCGAGGAAGCTACCGGAGGCGAGGACGGGCGCGGTGGGGGAGAAGGCGAGCGCGTAGATCGAGTGCGGGAGCTCGCAGGTGAAGGCGTGCGGGTTCGGCGTCTCCGCCCCCGACGACGAGGCGACCGTGGACGGCGGCTTGGGTAGGTCCATGGAGTGGAGAAATCGGGTGGATATATTTGGGGGCGGAGCTGCGCTGGGGCCGATCCTGCTGGGACTCGAGAGAGGTGATAAAAGGAGGGAGAGGGACGCGCGCGTGCGAGCGGCAGGTAAACGACGGCCGGGCACTGGGGTTGAACGATGCGGGCGGCGCCTCGGCGGGCTGAGGTTGGTAGAAGTGGAACGTGGGGGATGGGGACTTGACCACGGCGACAGGTCAGCCGTCGTCTGGTCAAAGTTTGTTGCAGTGTGTACTTGCACGGTTGCACCAGCGGTTCGATCTCTGGTCAAGTCATTTCGTGGACGGGGAATCTTTGGTCCCTGACGAGTGGTGCCGATCACCGGAAGCGAAGAGCCTGCGATCGTCCACACTCCATGGCTCATTCAGCGCCGGGGGCAAACGAGTCAGCAGCTGGTCCTGCGAGGAGCCAAGGATGCGCTTGCGCAGATAACTTTGATGAACATGTAACAGCGACGAATACGAACCACATCCCTCAGGACATTGGCGAAGGCTTGGGGGAACAGACAGGCATTAGAAGCATGCGACGTTAAGGGAAACAAACCACATGATGAGCATAACTAAACATCTGAGCCACTTAAATATAGCACGTTTCTCTTTTGCTACTAAAGCAGAGAGGCTTACAAGAAAACCCCGAGTCTATAAGCGGACTTTTTTGAACAATCAAGCACCAAATGTCATTGTATTCTGACAAGTCAAAAATCTCATGGGGACATCTCTCTCACGAAGGAATCATTCAAATCATCTCTCCTTGTTCATGTGGACTTCAGCGCTGGGAACTGAACAGGGCGCGGCTGACAATACCAGTGGCCTCAATGTAGCGGTCAACACAACGTGATATGCAGCTGCTCTCGCTTCCACTCAAGCTTGATCCTGGCTTGGTCACGCACTTATCAAAGCACTTGTTCCCGACGGTCTGCAAGACAGATCAACACACCTGTGAGCTTGAGAAATACCACCATATGAAACGACAAGGAAATTTCCATGATTCATCCTTTTGCGCTTTCGTGTGTAAACTTTGTTTCCTTAAGTTTGTTGAGGCAATCAACATCATCCTATTTGTTTAAGAAAAAACGCAGCCCCATGTGAAAGACAGGCAATTTCCTAGACGCATCGTTTTGTCCTCTCAGGGTTGTGAATCTTCCAAGGCAACTAAATAGCTTTCAAACTCCCTCATGTGACCCCAAAAAAAAAAAACTAGTCAATTGATCGGACTCAGGACTCATTGCACATGACCCAAAGCGAAACAAATTGATACTGGTGGCACAGAAACAAGAAGGTAGAAACTTCCAAGATAATTGGCTAATTGCATATATACTGTTTAATATGTCATCCTTTCAGGCTGAAAGTACTGCCTCAACAAAAATTACATTTACTCCATTAAACAAAGCTCGAAGAAGAATCATCCATGGCCAAAAGGAAAAACAAGTTGAGATCAAAAGGATAAAGGCATACAGAATCATAAATGCCTTCGATTAGGACTGGGAATGAATATCAGGAGCTGACTTACGGAACGGATTTGGGATCTCATAAAACTTGGGTTTGTTTTTATTTGGAGGTTTTGTGTGGGCACTTTGGAAGATGCAGAACAAAATGTCAACTGGAATTGAAAACCTAACACCATGAAAGTTTAGGCTGTTCTCCCTGATTTTGGTTATTGCTGTGGCTTTGCCATCCTGTTGAACTTAAGTTAGTTTTGACCTAAGTCATCATGCAGGATGCATTACCCGAATACAAGGATACAGATACACAATCCGGCACTATCGTGACACAGGATTTTAGATACGGGGATATATGTATAATATATAATAAAAATTTTAAAAAGACATTGCTTGAAAGGTTAATGTGCAACTTGATTTGCTCACTGTTGACTTAATAAGTCTCGAAACATACCTGATTATTTGCTCCTATGTATTGTTGGGAACAAATGGGGTGTCGTGCAGTGGGTGGGTTCATGGAGGTAATGAGGGCTCAGGATTCAGAGGTGTGCAAAGAATCTTATCTAAGAGTAAGGGTTGTCAACAAAAGTATCAGAATTATTTTATATGTTTATTCATTTAAATCATGAAAATGTCCGATACATGTTTGAGTATCTTTGCCTGACAAGTATGGTAGGAGTATCAATGTGCGAGAATTTGGAAGTATCCGCATATCATATATGCTAGTCACATGATGAAGGTTCCTAGATTTGGCTTATTTTCTCATCGCACCACTTCTCTTCTACTTCTGCTTGTAAAGAATGCTATTGTCATTTCTTTGGAATGGAAGTGGCCAAATGCTGCTGTTTCTCTGGAATAGAAGTGGCCAAATGTTGCCATTTCTCTGGAATGGAAGTGGCCAAATGGGCCAAGGTTTGGTTCGGGAAAAATAAGGATGTCAATTTAAAAGAAATTTCCTAACAAACCAATTGATGTAATGTTCTCTTGGGTATCGTTTCTGCAGAAGTGGAAGACACTGCTCATAATGCCATGTTGCCACTACACTGGATGAATGATTTTGTGTCAAATGTGAGTATGCCCAATGACGTATGGACTCTGTGAGACTGGTGACCGGTCCTAAACTTGTTTGATCTGTAGCAATGTTGTTGGTGGTTACTTTTGCGTGGTTGATGTGTGAAGATCTACATAAACTTGTTCGGTCTTTGTTTTATGCTAATGGGTGCTTCTAAAATGTAGGATGCTAATTATAAGCTATAGTCAGCTAGTAATCCAAGCAGGGTATAAAAAGGGTGTTGTAAAACTCCTTATTGGCTTTCCATATAGAAACTGTGAAATATCATATTCCTAAAAAAATGTTGGCATAAAAAACCCAGCATGGTGTAAAAATGATGCTGCAAAACTCTTTATTGACTTTCAATATAAGCTAGAATCTAAAAAAACAGAGGCATACAGAGGCAGAACAAAACAGTGTGTTTACACAAAGTATGTATTAGAAAACAAACAGCATGCAGAACATCAACATATTTGAGGGAGGACAAGTACATGAATGCAGCACTTGAACATATGATGAAGCTAAAATATGTAATCTAAATGGTAAGTAAATTTAGCACAGCCAATTAATCCAGCTTACTGGATGCCAACTGGGTGCTATAATATGTATTTCTACTCATGTCTATGGACATGGATCACAAGGTATTACAAGGTATTATTATCGATCCTTACATTTGCAGGTCATGCAGCCACATCCCTTATGCATGATTTGGACTTGGTGCAATCATATATAGGTTGTATCTAGAATTCCAAAAGGTTATGGGGCTAATGCAGTACGTTAATGCTTTGTGAAAAGTGTTAAGGCCTTAAGGGGGTGGTGAGGTGCGCCTAGGCGTCAACAAGGTTGGCTAGGCAGGTCCCTAGGTTGCTTAGACGATAGCCATGAAAGTGACACCATGTGCCTAGGCAGGCTGGGGGATTTTTTTTATTATCTTTTTTTTTTTTTTGAAATAATAAGCTTATGTCTGACTGTAAGTGCTGTTTTGGGGAATTTTTTTTAGCACACGCTAGTTGCACTTAGTTCAAAGTTGTAAAAAAATTGACTAGAATTGGACCAGAAACCAGCTGTTACTTGTTCAATTACCAGCTGCCAACCTAGTTCTGGCTACCATCAACAGTCACTATAGCATATAAGCATTGCTTCACCGTTTTTATCCTAAACAAGGTCACCCTGTCAATTAGGTTTTCAATCCAATAAAATCACCCCAATTAACATCTTGACTACTTAACTTGTATGAGAGGCCCACTGCTCATCAGAAACTTAGAGCTTAAATTTTCTCCTTGCATCCATAACATCTTCAGTTTTTTCCCCCCCTGTGCAACCATAATAGCTAAACCTCTATCAAGCTCAATCGCTCCAACCAATCTACCAACCTTAAGGTAGTTCAATGTTTGAGCTATCAATTACAACAAATAAGGGGCCCCAAATAGCTCCCCTCATGCAAAGCAAAGGTACCATATGCGAAATCAAGAATCACAACCCATGAGTTAGCAAGCACAATCTAACCATCCATTACATATTAGGATTATCAAACTGGCATCAACAGAAGAAAATGATTGCAAGAGATTTGACCTCGAGAAACTCCTGCGCGTAAGCCTGTGCGAGCTGAGCCTTGATCTGTTCCATAACAGCGTCCGGGTTGGCGCCGGGACCTGACGACGGCAGCGAGGACGAGAAGGAATCCATGGCCGGCGGCTTCGCCTTGCTTGCTCCCCAAGTTTTGCGCGGGCGATCGGTGGCTGGTGGTTGGTTACTGCACGCTCGTTCTCCGTCGAGGAGGATTTGACGGCTGGTTATTACTGCGCAGGGGCGGCGGGGGAGCCGCGGAACAAAACCCTAGCAAGGTGGTCGGTTTCCGTGTGAGAAAAGAAAGGTCCGGCCCATCTTCACAAACAAGGCTTTGCCCAATAGGTACGCGAGACCACAAGTCCTATGGACTTGGGTATGATTCACCTATGTGCAGGCCGGCTTATTCAGATATACAATGGGCCGTCCCGTTTGCACGCTGTCGGTCTGTCGCCTTACTTTTTTTTTTTGGAGAACACGCCTTATCTTCTTCTTCACCAGTCTGAATATTCTGAGGTCTGAGAAGTTTTGTAACAAGGGGATTTACAAGAAATAAATAAATCAGTATAGGAATTCTAGAGGATGAACAGATTAAAAACAAATCAGCTGAATAAGCTGCTACTAAACTATAATCATCGCATGCCCACGGATGGGCTCAATGGTTTATGACGGTGCCTGTGCCTCCACTACATCAAGTTGTACATACAGGTGCAGTGAAGTAAAAGCGATAAGCAAAGGAAGACACGCTGAAATTAACCGCGCGCATCAGTATACACTGGTGGGCTAACACGGCTGCAGCCTGTCGCCCGCCTGCGCCGCTGTCCTCGCATCGCAGTCGCAGTCGCAGGGCCCCTGCGTCTGCCACCTCGAGCCATCCAAATGCATCGCTCAAGCGTCTCGTACCTGCAGCCGGGTAGGG